TTTTTTGAGGGGGAGGGGGGGGGGGGAATTTGAAAGGGAGGTGTGGTTCCGGGAATGTAATTCTGTGGAATTCATCAAAGAGGGCTTTGATGAAAATCTAAATGTAGACCAGGAGACAATTTTTTTGACAACTCTTTTAGATAAGGAAACAATTTTTTACGTGTTCTATCCATTGGCCCATTTGAATCAATAGGCAACATAGCCGCTCAAATTCTATTAGGAATTAAAGGCCTCTAGATATGCTATGGAAGAGATAGGTTTGCAAAAAAAGTCTGTCTTGGCACGTTCGAGTGGTCAGCCACAAGGTATACTGGTATCAAAGTAAGAAACAGAGTCACTTAAAAATTTTACCTAATATTTCTTCAGTCAGCAAGAATAATCTCTGAAATTTTTATAAAATCCGTGCACAAGTTTTAAAAACAATTTAAACAATGGTGAGATGTCTTGCAACACATTGTCTTAGCGTAAATGGTTGTGATACTTTGGCCAGAAGATGAAAAACTGTGCCTGCCTGTTAGTTTTGGATGAAATTTTAACTGACATTGTTTTAAAATGACTGATTCCTAATTCCTTCTTCAATAGCCATGTTCCTACAATTTGATACAAAAACTGAAATTAAAATTTAGTATTAAAATAGGTACAACATTTATTTATTCAAATTTAACAATTTAATCACACTGATTCTTACATTCATAATTAATAAATTACAAGCATCAATACAGTGGTGATTGATATCCATTTCACAGTCCGTATTTCTGTTATGAAACTTCAAAACACTTTAAAATAGGTGGCTCCAGACCTTTAGGACAAGTTCCACTCAAAACAGAAGAGTAAATTCATACTATACGTATACTTTAAAGATGACTTGGATAAATACCTTGCAAACTCTATATTTTACTAAAGCCTTTAAATTCAGACGTTAAGTTCCTGCCTCAGAAGTTTGATATTCAGAAATTCAATGGTGATATAGTATTTTTACTGCACAGAAAAATATAAGAACAATTTTGCACGAAAAAATCTACAAATTTTAAAACTGTCATGAGTTCATTATTTTATTCATTACGTTAGCCTGATCAGAATGCAAATGTGACAAAAAGTGCAGAAAAGAGAAGGAATAAACATCTATGACCTCTTCTTCATAGACCCAAGCAATTTTTATAGCTTGGGACTTTATATTTTATCTTAAAAATGTATTTAATTGTTTAAAACATTTCTCTAAAAGAGAGAGAGAAAAAAATCTGCTCATCTAATCAATTTAATACCTCAGAGTATGATTTATTGAGAAAGAAAATGAAATTACATACTGCAACCCATTTAAGAACTGACGAAAAATGTCTCCCTCTTCTTATTTTTTGTGCGTAACTTTGGGTAAATCTAAGGTTCATAGTTCCGTGTATCTCAATCATTTCCATACATACCTAATTGTGAGTTTTGCTAAAGTTACTTTAAAAAGATTAGGTCCTTGACAGCTTACGGAGCATGATGTCGTGAATGCTGCTGAAAAGGTAGTTTTTAAAATAGAATAAGAACTGAATTTTTAATTTTTTTTGGTTGTGTATCATAAATTGATAAAGCCTTTGCCAATATTGTACCATGATCACAAAACATAAAAATATTATTTCACTATACTTGACAAAGACACGCTGTATATATGTATCAGTGATGTAAAAGGGCCATGTACCAACAAAATGAAATAAGAATGGTCCAATTGTCTATCCTGTGATAAGTAAAATAAGCTGGTTCACACTTTGCAAAAGAAATCACAATTTTTAAAACTATATCAGGTTAGACTGGTAGCGTAATAATTAAGTCTACTATAAAGCTACAAATTTCAACGATGGTGAGAGTAGATCGGTAAAAAAGTTGGTTTCACTGATAGACATGTTTTTTGACTTCAAAGTTCGATCAATCTACACAATACTGATGAATAAGAGAAGTAATTTGAGTTATAAACTCTAGTAGGATCGGATCGCTGGTGGCACAGTTTTGCATTCTGCTTCATCGAGTGTCTGATCAATGACAGGTCGATAGTCGATTGTAACCTATAAAGAAAAAAAGAAAACAAAAAAAAAAAATGCAATGAGAGCAAATTAAAGATTTTTCAACGAGGACACAACAATACTATTAGGATTGATTGCCTCAAAATTCTAAGGTGATTCATTCTGGGTTCTGGCGAGTCCAAACTGGCGTGAGACATATCATAACAATTGAGCAAAAAACCTCGGCAGTTTTGACTTTTGAACCAAAGAAAGAAGAATGACCCCTGCACATACGCTTAGAGAATCATTCGGAACCAAAATAATTTTTTTGAATTTTGCAATTATTGTGTTAAATGATTCTTGAGGCTCATGCGCAGGAGCTATTATCCTTCTTTTGGCTAAAAATTCAGGGCCTGCCAAGATTAATAACTTCATCGATGGGATGTATTCTGTACCAGTTTGACTACGCTAGTTTTCAAGACATATCACCATGAGATTATATTTTATAGGTCAAAAAAGTCAATAGGATTGATTCAGTGAACACTTTAAGATTTGGCTTCACTTGTCAGGAAAAGGAAAAATCAATCACACATATTGAGCTGCGGATGTATTTTTACACTGTTACCTGCAAAATGTATGAACAAGCAAGATGCTTGAGCACATATTAAATATAGGAGGCATCAGAAACGTCAGCCATAACTGTGAAGCCTGGGTCAAAAACTCTCAATAAACGACTACATTATCTTTTAATTGAAACTCCTTCGGATTTTGAAACACATTAATGCTTGAAATTATTCAGTCACTAAATTCTGACTTGGCAAGAAAGAGACATATCTATGAATAGTGATGATAATCATGAGTCTTTTTCAGACTGGTTCAAAGGGTGACTAATGGATACGGAAATATAAGTATGGTGATTTACCTTTCCAGTATCTGGGTTGATGTACGTAAGTGTATGCTTTCTCCAGTGCTGGTCGATTGGCTTCTTAACTTGCCCATCTAAGGGCTTCGAGTAATCATACTCATCGATCCGGGTCTGGGAAAAAACAAAATACAGGATAAAGATAGGTTCTTCAAATTGCATATTGAATCTCAAAGGTTCTGAGTTAGGAGATGTATTCTAGGTTTTCTGTGATGTCCGAAATATACATTTCAATGCACTTGTGGATAAATTTTTGGACACCTGTGCTGGCACCTGGGGCTACAGGAAGTGAGGGATCAGAAAAAGGGAATAAAAAGATAAAACTGCAACCCTTCGATTCCCAATAGCAAAACCCTAGTTGACATGCCATTCGAGTTTGTTGCTGCAGCTCCTTTTCGACAGTGAAACTTCAAAAATGGGTATCTCAGTTGCAGTGTTTCATGGTTATTTATATAAATGGGTCTGTTGCATACAAGAGAAACAGTCTTAAGTGAATAAAATTTTTGTGGTGAAAATTGCACTCAAATGATGATGTATGCATAAAAAAAAATCTAAAATCAACTCCTTAGCGCAAACTGCACAGATTATGACACCCTTTTTCAAATTTCCCGCATCTGCAGGTAGTTTTTCTTAGTAACCCGCAATCAGTTTTGCCCGGAGAGACAATCAAGATAACCTGGACTAAATAAACAAAAAATGTCGCAAACTGTTACAAACTTTCTTTGTGTAACATTTCTATTAATGTAAAGCTTATGTTTTTGCACCACTAAGAAATGAGGAGGATTGAACCCTTGAAAACGAGTAAAATTATACCTGAGATAACGTTTGCGAGATTGTAAGTTTCTTTAAGTTAGATTTTCTAACATATCTTTTTGGGCAAATTTAGTTACCAGCACCAAAAGACTGTCTGCACATGCAGAAAATTTGAAAAGTTGCATTACAAGCTACCCTAGTTGTGCTTTGAAGATTGGATTTCAAATTTTTTGGATGGAACCATTTAGATTTTTTTTTGAAGTAACCTATTGAAAGTCTATTAATTTGGTTGTACCTCTGGCATGCAATAGATTCATTCTTTTGGCATCAAGTGAAATTCATAGTGCACACACATAGAGATAGCAATTAGAATTGGGCCTCCAAGACAGGCAGGAAGCACGAGCAAACTAGAAAAACCTTCATGCTTATTCCAAGTGTGCCACACTTCTAAACCTCTGCTCTCCGTTTAGGGGTTATTTAACCAGAAAATATACAGTAATTTTTCAAACTGAAATAGGAATTACACTGTTCAGAGAAAGGAAAAAAAAAGAAAATCTGATCAACTTCCTTAAGTTTTTCAGGGCACTTAATGACAGGTAAAATCCGTAAAAGGACCCTTACCTTGAAATCTTCACGTGCGTGTGCTCCTCTGGACTCTTTTCTATTTTCAGCAGCAACAATTGTCTGCATGGCGTTTAACATTAGATTCTGCAGCTCCAAAGTCTCAACAAGGTCAGAGTTCCAAATTAAGCTACTGTCGCTGATCTGAAAAAAAAGATCCCACAACATTAATTTCCATAAGGGAAGGCACTTTCTTACCATCTTTTGTTTCTCCAAAACCAGGAGCCCAGAAAACACTAGAGGACACTTCTGCGCTTTTGTGGGACAGCAGTGCAGGATGGGACATTTTCTTTTAGAAAAAGTCAAGTTTTTTTCCCCACTACATTTTATGAAGGTATTTTCTTCAACCATTAGCTATGATTAAAAATAAACCGAACCAGATATTAAGAAATCCAAATGGGGCAAAATTTTTGCTCCCAATTTTTAAGTGGGTTATAGCATTGGAAATGGATGATGGCCCATTTGAGCGACTGGAAAGTGTGCAGGCTACAAACACTAACTGAGAAAGCAAGGAGTTTGGGAACCTTGAAATTTGGCGATCAATCATCCGGAAGATCAATCTGTAAAATGGCAATGTACCTTCAGGTCTTTCAATCCTTTGTAGATGTCTGCCATCTTCTTACAACCTTCCTGTAGCGATTCAGCAGTTCGGAAAACAGCAGCATGATTTTGCATGGCCTTCTGCATATTCAGCCTAAGGGTAGCGGTCGATACGCTTCCATTTGCAAATCTGATCTTATCCAAATTAGCGACTGATTCTTCTCCTGCATTCTGCCAGATACAAAAAATAAAATAAATGCATTCAATGACACTGAATGTTGTATTTTAGTAATTAAAAGGGACGTAAACCCAAAAATCAATGTTAAGATAAAAGAATAAATAGATAGAGGAGGGAAAAAATGACAAATAGCAAAAACAACAAACGAATATTTTTAATCAATGTCGAACTTGGTGCTGCTGTCAAGCTATAAAAGAGTGTAAATTTTTACTAAATAGATACCCGATTCATACAGGCATTGTGCCAACATTTTTTTCAAAATTTCAGCTCTTGTGATGTTCTAAAATGTAAATACAATACACTTCCGACCAATCCTCACTGGCCAAGCAAGTAGGGTGTTACAAGCCTCTACAGTGGAGCATATAAGATAAGTTCCCCTCAATTCATACCACTTGTTAAACCATCGCACACCGTTTGTTTCTTTTCACATTAACATTTTTTCACTGATTTTTTTAACCTTTTTTTAAGAATTTTTCCCGTTTTGCTGAGATAGATTACCAAACATTTTGGATCTCTCAAACCTCGGTATTTAGGGGAAAGAAGAATTGGTCCCTTCTTCCTAAACTGCGTTCAAACCATGGGAGTAGTCTATATTTCATCAAAACAAAATGATGAAAAACTTTGTGGCCACTTTGATATAAGCAGATGGGGATTTTTTCTCACTCCTTAAAGACTTAAATTCTGATATATGTGGAGCCAATCACTAGGAACAATCAAATCAACTGATCGGGATATCAAAGAGAGTTAGGGCATTATGGCAAAAGATAAATGAAAATGTTTCCTTACAGGTCTGATGGGCCCAAAAGATTCTCCAGGTTTGTTTTCGTCAGCGATTGTCTTTGCACAAGCTCTTCCGAAGACTACGAGATCGAGGAGAGAATTAGCACCTAATCTGTTGGCACCATGAACTGAGGCACAGGACGCTTCACCACATGCGTAAAGACCCCTAATGATCTCATCATCACCATTTTTGCTTGTCAAAACCTGCAAGAAAGGAAAATGTATTTAAACAAAGCTAAAGTTCCTAATCTATACCTAGCGACAAAAATGGGCCTGTTGCATGCAAGAGATACAGCCGTGCGAATAGACTTTTTAGAGGTTAAATGACACGAAAATTACGATGGTCACATTAAAAAAGTCTGAAATACACTCCTTACTGCGCAATTTGTGTTGTTAGGAACGCGTTTTTTCAAATTTCCCGCGTCTGGGGGCAGTTTTCTAACGGAAACAATTAACGGCAACTCGCGGCTATTTTCGGTCAACTAAAACTGACAACATAACCTAAAAATCGGAGCTCGTGACATCGTGAAATGAAATGTAGAAGGATTGCGTTGGATATTTAAAAGTTGATCGATTTGGTTACCGCATAAAGCGTATATGGACCACTGTAGGAGATCACGTTGGGTTTGTAAACAAACTGAAGGAAAAAATAACAACAACAACAACAACGACTCGGCATCTTCCGGAAATCACCGAGCCCGCCGTTTGCTCGTTTCCGGTGATTAGAAAACTGCCCCCAGACGCGGGAAATTTGAAAAAGCGCGTTCCTAACAACGCAAATTGCGCAGTAAGGAGTGTATTTCAGACTTTTTTAATGTGACCATCGTAATTTTCGTGTCATTTAACCTCTAAAAAGTCTATTCGCGCGGCTGTATCTCTTGCATGCAACAGGCCCATTATAATTGATTTACTGAGCAGCATCAGGAGGAATAATTATGCGAAGATCGAACTTAGACTTTCAAATTCAGACGGGTAATAGGATAGAAAAGTTGCTTTGAAGTTAAAAATGCTCAGCTATGCGAAAACTTCTTTCAGAAAAATAACTTTATCAGGTACAGCTATTGCGATTTTATCATACAGTGGGAAACGTTTACTGGCCGTAGACATTTTCACAATAGATTCTTAAGAGGTTTAACTTTTCAAAGACTTGTAAAAAATGAATATACGGAGTCATTTTTGTGTTAGAATGAACTTAGAGTGATTGTCTTTTGATTGGGATGATGCGATAAGTCTCCAAAAATTTCAACATTTTTAATCGAATGGTTCCATGATATTTGATAGTCCATGTGACTTAATATGCCTTTGCAAAAGAAATCGCACAGTTTACAAAGGAATTCCACAGGGGTTGAATTTTGTCATTTTTTGATAGGATGTTTATCAGAATAAATTTTAAGACGTTTAAATAAATATTTCACACTGGTGCTACACCAGGTATGCAGACCAATCTTGGTTGGGAAGTTGGTACGACGCTGCATTGCTGACTGGCATACTGAGAATTATAGTTCATTTGACTGTCATTTCATTTCATTCAGGAATAAGGCATGATGCTGGCACGTCTTAACCTCTCCAGTCATGTAACTGAGCTCTCCTCATTAGCCTATTTTCTGTTGGAGCATTTTTTAGAAGAATGCGTTTTAAAGCATTGAAAATTTCATTTTTCAGTCCTTTTTTCCTCAAAAGTGGCAAATAGAATGTTCAATAACTAAGCAAATTCAATTTTTTGCTCCGGCTGCCGAAATTTCTAGTATCATGATTGCATCAATTCGAGTTATAGTAAAAATTCTTTCATACCTGTCCTTTGTAGTTGGTTGGCACACCTCCCATGTTGTAATGAACTGTTGGTAAAACTGGAATCGGCTCTCTAGTTACATCTACGCCAGCGAAAATCATTGCAGTTTCAGAGATACCAGGCAATCTTTGGGCTAACTGGTCCGGAGGCAAGTGGTGCAACTGCAAATATACATGATCCTTCTCTGGACCACAACCTCTGCACGAAAGAGACATGACATTAGCATTTCAAAGACACATTGACAATTCATAGGTCCATTTGCCAGATCCAGGAAATGTGATTTTTCATAAAATTTTCAGACTAAGTGATGCCTCCTTATACATTACAGGGCTGCCATAATTTTTTATTTTTCAAATTTCTTGAACTACTTTTACTTTCTTGATTTTTTCTGCCTCCAAAATTTTCTGATTCCCTGACTTTATTTCACATTTAACAAAAAATTTCCACCCATTTTATTTTACTTTATTCATTTTTTTTCATTACAATTCTTTTTTAAATACAAAAGCTTTATCTATATTTTGGACAAAATGTCCATGTTTTGACATCAAATTGTGGGAAAAGGCATTTGGTAGCTGGTTAAGGGACGACAAGTCTTAAACATTACCAGAAGAGTGAACAGACGAGAAGATTAGTAATATGTTTCAGGGATTGGTAGATGCGTCAGAAATTCCCTGACTTTTCCTGGTCGTCACTAATCCCCCCACTTCACCGGTTTTCCAGACCGCCAGCAACCCTACATTATCTAAGTTGGCAAATTGGAGTGAAGTAGCCTTAGGTTTATGGCAAAAAGCCCATTTGAATCTTTAAGATCATAAAGCTTTCGTTTTGCATTTACAGAAATCGGGAACATTCAATTTGTTCATAGCCTTTAACATGAAATTTCATAGGGAAACATACATCATGAAGCTGAATTTAATTGCTCTCTGTCTGGAGGTCTATTTTCATCTTCTAATCGCTTCTTCATCTTGAATCACTATTAATTTGTATTAAATAAAATGAAGGTCCCATATTATTAATACGGACTTTCTCTCTGCAGACATTAACGGAAAAATACTGATTTCCATATAGAAAAGAAAAACGAGCCAAACAATGTCAGGTAACCAACCTTCCATCTCGAATTTCCATGGTCATTGACCTAGATACAACATCTCGTGAGGCAAGATCTTTGGCAACAGGTGCATAACGTTCCATAAACCTTTCTCCCTCGCTGTTGATCAAATATCCTCCTTCACCACGACAACCTTCAGTCATCAGACAACCAGCTCCGTAGATACCTGTTCAAAAACATACAAATATCTTAGCCTTAATTACCTGTATATTTTTGTTGAGATCCTGTGAAGCCAGAAAGGAACCTGCTTCAAAAATCTAAGATTGTCACTAATTTTGAGAATGACAAATACTTGACACAGAGATTTATGGTAACCAGTGTTCCAACCCCACGAGCGCCATGTCGCCAAATGCTCCTAAAAAATCGGCCATGGCCCCTAAAAAATGAAGACCCTGCGCCAAACGTGGCCCCTAAAAAATTGTCGCAATCCTAAATTACGGTTTGATGATTTCAAGATTTGTGTCAGTCAGCCTGGACTGAACGCGCATAGCAAGCAGTTGCGCGCGGAACTTTGTCGCGGCAGCGGCTCAGCAGATCGAGAATCGTACTACTTATCGTACATACTATAGAATCGTTTTACTACTTTTCATAATAGGAAGTCAGAAAAAGTATTATTTAATTGAGCAAACTTTAAGTGAACTAAAAGCTCCTTGTTTTAAATCGGAATATCATTCCTTTGGCCTTTCCCTTTCCCAAGTAATGGCTGCGAGTTGCAACTTGCAAGTCCTGTAACTGTATATCTTGCGTATAACTTTTCACTAAATGCGCCGTGATATATAGGCAAAAATTCAATTTGGCCAATAAAAAATCTTCAATGGCCCCTAAAAATTGAACTTGATGGGCCAAACGGCTCCTAAAACTTGGAGGTGAAGTTGGAACACTGATGGTAACCCGCCTACCCTTTAGATCAATGATTTTGGAGAGAATTTTAGGGGATTCAGAAGCTATCTGTCTCCTTTGTTGACTACATTGTCAATGAAATTCAATAGCCAGCCAGTCGTGCTTATGTGTCTCAGTGTTATTAAAGCAATTATCAAACTATACTTCCCCTTGATGGTGATCAGTAAAGCAATGAGGACAAAACTGGAAGGCACGAGTACATATTGAAGGTTGACCATACCTGTTGGATGAAACTGAACGAATTCAAGATCTTCATTGGGCAAATTTGCACGAGAGATCATAGCTGTGCCATCACCAGTACAAGTGTGGGCAGAGGTGCATGAGAAATAAGCTCTACCGTATCCACCAGTTGCTAAAATCTAACCCAAAAAAAGAAAGAAAAAAAAGGAAAAAATTAGTCACAGCGCATGTAGACAGAAGGCACATCTTATTGGACATACATCACCAATATGAGGAATAGAAGTGTTTAAATTACAGAATGTCATCAGTAAATAGGTTATATTTTAAGTGGAAAAAGTGTAAATAAAAGTTTTCATGCAGATTACAGCTTGAGATACAGATAGTTTGACTTTAAAGGGGGAAAAATAATTCTTGACATTCTCAAAAAGACTCAATCACCAATTCGTTTGTTTTTTCTGTTTCCATTCAAGATGCAGGAAAATTTCTGAAACAACCATAAACCAATTATAAATTGCGCTTTTCTTGCACATTCAGTCTTGAACCTGCGGGCTTTCGAGCAGGTGGAATAACTGCGACTATAATAATAACTGTATAACTGTAACTAAAGGTACTTACCGTATTCTTTGCTCGGAAACGGTGTAGTGTTCCATCTTCTAAGCACAGGGCAATGACACCTCGGCACTCTCCTTCCTCCATGAGTAAATCAAGGGCAAAGTATTCGATAAAGTAGTTGCAGTTGTAACTAAGGGATTGACCATAAAGAGTGTGCAACAACGAATGACCTGTACGATCAGCAACAGCACAACACCGATGAGCTTGACCACCTTTTCCGAAATTCAAACTTTGACCACCAAATGCCCGTTGGTAAATTTTACCATCCTTAGTTCGACTGAACGGCATACCTGAAATTATATAGAAATAACAATTTTTAATATAATACCAATACTAAAGTTCACACCATCATTAAATAAATTGACTGATACTTCTTGTAGGAGAAATCCCATGAATTACGACAGACAGAGACCATTTTTCTCTTCCGCAGGCTTTGGGGGCAACATTTTCGAAATGTTATAATTTTTGATGACTTGAGTGAATCTCACCAAATTTGAAAAGAAACACTTGGAGGGATTTTCTTCATGGCTTTAGAGTGATATATCCAGATGGGAACTTTAAACAGGGTGCTTCAAGAGAAATCATCCACCTTGAATATTTTTTGAACTAATACCAAGATTGAGAAACGCTGAAATATGTGTTAAATATTCTGAGGGTGGCATCTTTTGAGAGGTATGTCCCCTCAAAATTATTGAACTTTTTTTTAACGCTATTCAATCTTCAAATCCGTTCAAAAGATATCTAAGGTAAATACTTTCTTTTGGAACACCCTATCTCCACATAATGCAAGTAATGCAGATAAAAGGCAGCTTATATTAGCTGTATTATTTATGTTTAAGTTGAGTAAAAAAAAGTAATTAAAACACACCATAATTTTCAAGCTCTATCACAGCTTTTGGTGCTTCTCGTGTCATGTAATGAATAGCATCTTGGTCACCAAGCCAGTCGGAGCCCTTGACAGTGTCATACCTAAAAATATTCATAAAAAATGGTTAGTCATACAGTAATTTTATGTAGATGATAAAAGAAATGCAACAAAACTTCCAGAAAATAAGGATGAATAGAATATCAACCTGGAAATATAAGAATTTTATGGTTGTGAAACCCCTCCCAAGGAGACGGTGTTTACTCTCTTAGAGAATATCCCTCAATAATTAATGTGAGTCTTTACAGACATGGGATTTTAAAGGTAATCCGCTTCAAACAAAAACATGAATATCCAGGGGTAGTTTCAATGCTATTTTATCTTAACGACAAAAACTTACACACTAATCGAAACCCTAATTAACCGTGTAGACGCTCCAAATGAATTGTTTATCAAAAATTCAGCCTCAAAGATCCTCCAAAAAAGAGGCCCTTTCTAGAAAAAAAAAGGAAATATTATTCAAATCCACCCTGAATAAAACTGTGTGATGACAAGACAATCCTCAAAATGATGTCATTTTGAGCTAACTACACTTACAAATTCTAAGTCTCAAAAATAAAGACAACCTTAGGATCCGTTCGGACAAAAACTAATTCAACAAAAAATCAACAAACCAGATTTAGTTAAATTGAAACTGGTTCAGCAGAAATTGCAGAACTGTTAATATTAGTGCATCTGTCTGGACCTGGTCTGTCATACTCACATGTGCCACTGCCAATTATCGGCCTCCATGTTTCCCAGGGCAGCATTGATGCCACCTTGAGCAGCAACAGTATGCGAACGGGTTGGGAACAATTTGGTGACAACAGCTGTGTTGAAACCCTCCGCAACCAGACCGAAAGCTGCTCTTAGTCCAGCTCCACCGGCACCGACAACAACGGCATCAAAGTTATGGTCAACAACCGGGTAGTCACGAGAGACCTGAAAGGGAAAACATTTGTGTTGTTCACTTACTTGGCTCGCCCAAGGCATCTGGATTAATTACATAAGTCAGTAAGCATCTGGCACGTTTTCATCAATTATGATGTTCAATTTTCCACATTGTTTTCTAAATTCCTACTTTCAGCTTATGTTTTCAAGATCTGCTAGCATGTTTCCATTATTAAAGACAGTCAGGAAGTTTAAATTGAGCTTGAAAGGAAGTCAGCCAATATTATTTCACCATGAATCAAATTTATTCATTTATGAAATCTATAAAATAGGGATGGCATGAAGTTCTGACCTGCCATAAAATGTAGTTTTGTAAGGGTTTTATTGATAGGATCATAAAACAAAAAAGACATGAAATAAAACCTTCACACACTCATGGATAGGTAGTTTGAAGAAGAAACTTTTGAAGGTCTGAAGGGGGAGAGGGGTCAATAGCAGCAGGTAGCTGAAGTTCTCTGAAACCGTAATTTTATGATATCTTCAATTGCTTTTGACTTTTTAAAAAAAGTCCTACGGAGGAATATATTAACACACCCTTACAGGGATATCATTAACTCGGTCTAAAATAAAGTAGAGGTAACCCAAAAATCTGGAGGTCAACTTGTTATGTCAGATATCAATGATAATAAGACAAGAAAACAAAACGTTTAAGAGCAACTGTTCCAGATTACTTCCTAGCTTTTTGTGGTTGATTAGAATCAATAGACTTGTTCAGCTTTTCTCAGACTTTTTAAGAACTTTTTGGAATTTCGTATAATTGAAAATTCAAGATTTTCTTGTGTTAGCAATTCGATTTTACAGAGAGATTCGCGAATCAATAGGTTGTTGCTTTAAAATTTTGGCACTAACCTTCAGAACAGTTGCCAAGAATGATGTTACATAATGCATGAATGAGGAGTGGGGAGATAACGTTATTCACAGCACTAGAGATATCATATTCTCATGATTTTCTCAGTTAGGAAGATTTAAGAGCTAAAACTATGCACAAGGCTGCTATTTAGATTATAGAAAAGGTTGAACCTCTTGGAGCAACAATTTTGGAAAATCAATACCTTTGGGGTGAAGGGGGGGGGGTATAGAGAGAGAACATTCACACACTGGATCCTGAAGACTTTGTATGTATGCTCTTCCCTACTTACAAGACTTTTTAATCTTCCTTTTAACTGAATGCCTCCTCGGGGCTGTGAGTTATTACCGGCGAAGGTGACTTTTTACCCTTGCAATAGCCTATTTATAATACATCAAAGCAAGTTCTCAAGAATATGTGTAATGCACAATTATACATGACATGTACTGGATAGAATACAGGCCAATAAAAATTACAGTTTGCAAAATCTCTGGGATAAGAGTAAGGTATAAAAATATACCTGAGATGTTTTGGCATCACTGCTACCACTGACTGTGATGTGAAGATTCCTCAAAAGTTGTTTACTCGCAATATTCTGTAAAAAATGAAAATTGACATTAAAAAAATTATGTTGAAATTGTAGACAAACATACACAGTTCCAATAGTATGTTGATGAGGGTTTGACTTGGAGATCATTTGCTATCTTCATTTATGACTCTCCAAACAAGAACACAAGCTGAGTGCATACACTTGACGCCACTGCAAGTCTGCTCTGGCAAGCGATCGAAAAAGAAGAATAAATTGATTAATGTATGGAGAATAAAAGCCTCTTCAGCACTCATACTGTAGTTTGCCTCTGCGCAGCACTGCGTGTACCTACTTAAAAATTGAAAAATAATGAAAATTGATAATGCTGTATCAGTGCCCTTCAATGTAATTGCTTTTATATTTTACCCAAAAAAATTCCTACACACTATCTATGATAGAAGAGTACAGAAATTGAGAGTTGTAATTGACTATTTCAAAACTGGAGAGCCCTGGTCATCTACTAAAAACTCTACTTCCACTTTCTGACCTCGTCCGCCCAAGGCCAAGCAGCAGCAATCAGAGGAAAAATCACATTGTATTAGCGATCCACACAACACCTGCTCTGAAAGAATCAGAAACATCTGAGTAGTACAGATATACAGTGTTATGTAAATTTTCTAAACTCCTTCAAGACCTACTTCTCGAGTCATGAGCGGTCAAAAATTGACACTTCAGTTTGTCATTTCTTCCGACAAATAATCATAAGAATATTTTCATTAACTCTGTAAGGATACAAGCCACCTTGCCAGGAGTTTATTCTTAGACACAGTTTCAAGCCAAGTCTCCGTTTGCGCAATTAAATACAACCCAAATTGTAAACCTAACCCCAGGTACAAGCTCAGGTTGGATGTAAATAATGTGTGGCTGGGTTAGGATGGGGCATTTAGATGGAACATGAAACCTGGGAACCTGGGTTAGTGACTGAGTTATCCTCAAAACCTGGGTTTTGAGTGTCGCATAAGTACCTATTCAAGGATACATCATATGAACGTGGAGTCATGACGATTCCCTCCAGGAGTACCTCCAAATGAACATGAAATTAGAAATGTGTTGGTAGAAGAGATTAACCCTCCAGTGAGCAGCAAGAGGAATTTAAAATAAAATGTCGAAAAGTGTGCGGGTGGGCTGCAAGAGCAAACTAAAGTTAGATAAGGATTGGGGTGAACTTGAAATGATGGCAAGTTGTGTAACAGGAGGTGACATTAGCAATTTGGGGCAAAGATCTCGTTTGCGTGACTTACCAGCGAGTTCGTGGTGGAATTCTTGCTTATGATCGTTGGAATTTTCAAAATTCCAGCCATGATTGACACTAACCAGACGACGGATGTTAATTTGGAATATTTTTGATGGTAACCTAGAGAAGCACTTGATAACAGTACAGAATCTAAACTAGGGAGAGTACGGTCATTAGTGTACCGCTTTTTGATTGGACGAGCAAAATAGCGTAGAGACATGGACCAATGAAAAGCTACTCAAACGATGACCTAACAGCCAATGAGAATACCAGATCAGCAAGGCAAAAACACAGTTGCACGCCTTACATGACCCAAAGGTGCGTTGTTAAATTACTTTTACTGCCCAACAAAAATGGCTGAATCTCAGCAGGATTGACGTCATCTCAACGACGACGTCAGCTCAACAGACGGGAGAAAATCGAGGTGTCGTTGTTAAATTCCCGTCGGATTCTGCAGATTTGGAGGTTAAGTTTTATTGNTACGCCGAATTACGCAGAAATCTTCCAATTACGCAGCATTACGCATTACGCAGCCACTACGCAGCGACCCTCCAATTACGCAAAAAAAGCCCTCAATTACGCAGAACGGTAACACTGCTAGAGAAGCACTTGATAACAGTACAGAATCTAAACTAGGGAGAGTACGGTCATTAGTGTACCGCTTTTTGATTGGACGAGCAAAATAGCGTAGAGACATGGACCAATGAAAAGCTACTCAAACGATGACCTAACAGCCAATGAGAATACCAGATCAGCAAGGCAAAAACACAGTTGCACGCCTTACATGACCCGACCAATGAAAAGCTACTCAAACGATGACCTAACAGCCAATGAGAATACCAGATCAGCAAGGCAAAAACACAGTTGCACGCCTTACATGACCCAATTTTGAAACGATTTCAGGTATGGATATAGAACCGACTCGTCTCTGATTGGCTCGCCTGGTTCCAGAGATCACGCGCGCTGTGTACGCGCTGGGACTCGTAGTGACTAGAGTCCCTTTATACTGAGAGTCAAGACAATTTGAATCCATTTCTGATTATTGGTTCCCGTATTTTAGGCCTCCACAGTGGATTAAGCACTTTGAGAAGGAAAGAGGCGTTCAAAAGTTGCCACAAACACACCGGTAATCGGCCGATGGCTATTGACTCTTCGGATGGGATGGAATGCAGAGTAGTGGGGATTGGCGCGGGAATTTCGAAAAAACCGCATGCTCGCAGGCTCCCAGCTCCCGCAAACATGAGAATTCATCACTGCTCTCCTGGAAGTGCGGCGCAGATATTTACGGGGTCAACTTTCCGGATGTGACTCCACATTAATGTCAAAATGTAACATTATTCTCCTTAAAATATTTTGTAGAGGCAATGAGCAATGGTATATTTCAGATAAGTAATACCTTTACTTACAACGAGATCATGGAAAAATTATGCTGAAGTGTCTTGCTGGTGAAACAAATTATGGAGGTGAATTTTGCCTTAATGAAGGTAATGTACAGACTGTCTGAGTATTTTAAGGTCAAATTCAAATTATATTATCTATTAAAGTCAAGAGTTATCGCCTTAAATTTTCCCAAATTTTCAAATTCTATTTTTTACTTTTTTCTCTTAGAAAAATAAAGATTATGCAGTGATAGGTGTGAAAAATTTGAGTCCACTCTCTATCAAGTATTCAATGCACTTACGATAACAGTTGGCCGAATAACTATAACAATATTTCTCTTACAGACATAATTCACCACTATGCTATTTATGGTTAGATGCAATTATTTTTGAATGCACAATGAAGCCCTCCTAACATAGTGTTTATGGACACTGAATGCAGAGGTAAATATAATGTTATGCTTTGAACAGAAATATGAAACTTTTCCCCCTCTCTTTCTGGGACAGGCCATTAGTCAAGAGTTGAAAACACGTAACAGAGACTTAAAAAGGAAAAACATTGATGATTTATGATGATGATTGAATAGAAAAGTAATGGGGATTTATTTTTCACACATTTCAACGAGGAAAGAGGAAATCATTTGATAGTACATTTTTTTTAAATTGAGCACACCATTATATTAAAGTTTAACAAAATTGAAGCACCTTGGACATGAGAAGAAAACTGTGAAGCGCGTTGTCTTCTGCGCTGGAAGCCTTTCAGGTTTGCTGCTTCGGGGGAGGGAAATTGTTCAGCAGGGTTGTTTAATGTGGAAGTACAAGTATAGAAAAACATAACATATTGAGGAAAGCAAGTTATAAAAATGGGAGGGCTGAGAACTTTCTGCATCCCTGGAATAGATGGTTTGCGATCCATAAAAAGGCTACAAACGCCCTAGTAATGAAGTGTGGACATACAGAGTTTACTGATTTATCTCCCTCCCTCTCCCATCCACTTCTAAGAACAAACCACTGGTGAAATACAAAGATAAACATCTTAATTTGCAATAATGTTGCTTTCTGGTCAAATTGTATATTTTTTTTCTCTTTGAGAAAAACTGAAGAGATTTGGATGAGCTTCTCCATGAGTGTACTGGGTTGACAAAGTCGATGATGAATTCGGCTGTAAGCTATCCCTCATACTGCTAAGAACATTTTCACAAAGCCAGTAATGGAGGATAACTTGCAGCTTTTACTGTGAGGAAGCACGAACTGCTGGAACAATTTCTATTCATTTTCAAGTGAAGTGCATGCAAAAAATAGTGATAAGGCAAACAGAAACTGAAACTGAAACTACGTTTAAATTAATAACTAAGTTAGTAATTACTGGAAGAATGGGAGGGAAGAAAATCGAGTGATTGATATGAAATGAGAAATAATTTTGAAAAATAATTCCTTTTAAATTTAAAGTTAAAGTAAAAATGCAGATGAAAATGAAGAATATTGTTCCAAAAAAATAAAAATGAAATTAAAGTGAAACGGTTAGGTAGTAAATTCATATAAAATTTTAAAAAAAAGGAGAACTAAAATAAATCAATATGGTAAATAATATAATGTGGGGAAAAGGAATGAATCTGGTTATCATAAAAAGAGATGAGAACTGCACGGTGTACCTAGCAATGCAATTAAATCCCTTCTAAAAATTTAATTTGGAATTCAAAAATTTTGAAAAAATTTAGAGACATGTTCATCTCTCAATTTACTTGCAAGATATAAAATAGGCGACGACATCATCCGTAATAAAATAATTGTGAGAAAGACGAAGAATAAAGGAGATATGTTACATTGCATGATACAAATAATCTGAGAACCTCAAGAGGCTCATGTAAAGGTATTACTGATAGCTGAGTATTGAGAGCTTTTGTTACCAAACACCTCACTTGAATGGTAACTTAACTTCATTGAATCTTTTATAATTTGACGAATTTAAGCACCTGATGACGGATACAGATGAAGCAATAAAGTATAACGAAAGATGAGGGTTGTGCATATCATTAGAAAAAGAGGTGAAAAAAAGGTTAAAATTTTACCAGGCTAATCTCTTCAGTATTTATAACAAATTAATGACTTGGAGAAATAGGCTTAACTTAGAAAAAAGAATTGAAATAGAATAAAAAATACTGTAAATTGTGCAGAACATATGAGTTCATATATGGGTTCACATATGGGTGGTGATAGATTTTTAAGTTATCCTTCAATTAAGTGAAGCAAGTTTAATAGAGCCGCACCAAGTCTCATCAAGTTTGTAAGAAAAAAAAAAGGTTTCAAGTTTCATTCCTTCATGAGACTCAAGGTTAAGGACAGAATGGAAGGTCAAAGTTGCAAGTTTGCACGATAAACATATTTTTTCTCGATTGTTAAGTTTTGACAGCAGAAAATTAACGACTCGTTGACTTTAAAATTACTTCCAACTTATTTATTTTTCCAAAATGCAACTTGGTGCACTTCTGTTAGCTCTGTCCAATTAAAGATAATTGGTTTCCAAGGGTGTGAGACCTTAATATTACCCACTGCATTCAGTTTAACACGAGAGAGATCATTTTAATTTTTCCTTCGTGAGTAAAAGTCCAACAGTTAACTGATGCAACCCTCATGCTTTCTCCTAAATAAAAAACAAATGAATATAAAGAGAAACTAAAACATTAACGATAATGGAGGAGACTCATAGAATGAGAAAAGGGAAAAATTGTATAAACTAAAAATGATATCCATCCTGAGGTAAAATAATAATAATAAAAAAATAAGAAAAGAAGAATATGACACGTAAATCCTCCATCTAGAGTTTCTCCCGTTCTTAGATTGTGGAGCAAATATAAAATTGTATATTAACTGAAATGTTGCATAGAGAATCATTGTGAAATGTATGAGTGCAATATAATGGGATTGGATTAGGAATATCAGTCAGAAAATCTTTTTCCAGTGTGAAAAAAACGCTTCTACTAAATAGAACTTTTCAACAGTAATGAGACTGAATACTGAGTGATCTAAGCTATGAAATGAATCAACAATTGCAAGGACCTTAGAAATTGCACCATGAAAAAAGGGAGAAAACCTCTTTAGGAGCACAGATGGAAGAAAGCAAGGGATAAAATTACAAAATCCCCTTTGTTTGTGGCATACAAATAGAGAGCGAAAGCAAAAATTGTGATAAAGAAGTGAAATGCAGGAAAAAAACTGAAGTTAGGTATTTTACGAAATAAATGATTGTCTAAGATACCTGAAGATATCAAAATCAGGGAGGCGGGGCATGAGAAAGTAGATATAGAATAATTTAGTAAGACAACTTAAGGTGAAAGTAGACATTTAGAAATATTTACAAGAAACGAAGCAGGAAAACTTTTATCTTAATATGTACACTAAAAAATCCACCGTGGAGGATGAGAAGACAGATTTTGATGGGATGAAAAATTATCAAAAAGGAGCGACCACGGTTTCAACTTTGAAGACTAGTGTTATGGAGCAATTCTTGTACCACTAATGAGAGAATGGGATTGTAAGAACGCTGATGATAAAGGTCAGTCTAGTTTGAAAATAATGAGATACAAATCCATGGGACTTTAGAAGAACAAAAAATATTTCTAGGAATAGTCATTTACATTCAATATGAGAGGCAGAAGAAGAAATCTGGCAAAATTTGAAGCATTAAAGAAGACTGTGTGTAGGATACACAAACGGTACACAGATACCTTCAAAGTAAGGCAATCATGCACTGCATTATGCAGGGTCGATTCCTGCCCAAGAAAGCAAA